TAAACTATTCTTGTAGAAAAGATGGAATAGCCTGTGATAGATATTTACCCGAACCTGTCAAGAAATAAGAAAGAAAAGGGCTTGAAAATTAAATTCAAATATCAAACCAACAAAAGAATTCAATAAAGCGACAAAAAAAAAAAAGTGAACATCATACTTTCCAACCAACAAAGAGCCAAAGGTGCATTCACATAGTTTCAAGGCTGAAATCACTGTACTGCATTCTAAGAAGCCATTCATTAAACAAAGAACCTAAACTATTCTTGTAAAAAAGATAGAAAAAGAGTTAGAAACAATAGACAAAATAAACACAAAGTATATTATTTCTAACTAGAACATTCGAATGTTAACATTCGAATGTCGGATCTAGTGTTCTATAATAATGTCTAAGCTTAATATTCTAATGCCGGATTTAGTGTTCTATAATAAAAATATTCTAAGCTTTTAAATTTTTTATAACTGACGCAATATAAAAAATTCAAACCTGGGGATCTAAAAAATCTATTCTCGCTATAAGTTAAGGGTCAAAAGTACAATAAGCTTATATCAATTTTGATATGCAAAGCTTATTAAATCGAGATTATGCATTACTTTATTTGGAAATCAGTAATCGTCAAATATTTACTAAGTATTTGACTATCAAATAATTATTTGATTGTGCCCAGCACTAATTCAGATACTATAGTAAACAGAATGCTTAAGAAGGAAGCTATTACAAAAAGGAACAAATTGAGTATTGTATATGCTATATTTTACAGTCCAAACTACCTCTCTGTCATAAAATAATTATCGAACATGTAGATATTTAAATGTTGTATATAATAGTTTATTTACAATATATATAACAATACATAAAATAAAAAAAAATAAAAAAAAACTAACAAATAAAAATATTAGCATAATCTGACAAGGGGGTGGTTTGGACTATAAAATATGGTATTGCCAAAATTAAGAGTAAAAGTCAGTATATTGTAGTAGTTGCAAGTTAATTCATTAGCTTTGTTATTAAGTTTATTGTTTTAATATGCTGGCACTTTATAAAAGATAATTGAGAGATTAAGTAAGAAGCAAAAGTTTAAAAATATATTTCAAGTTAACTAGTAAAAAGTATTTAAGAAGTTTGCTACTAGAGTAGAATTTAAAAGGCTGTTGTATTTTGAGATCACAGATTAAGAGTTAGTATAAATATAAATAGTAGAGTTTTAAAAGACTGTGCTAATAGCTAACAGAATTACAAGAAGTTTAGCCTTAAAAAAGCAAGGCCAAAGTTTAATTTGGGTTTAAAAAGTGTATTGTATTGTATGATTGTTAGTTTGTAACCAACCAATACTCATGGAGCATTAAGGGTTGCCTATATTTGTAACAGAACTATTAGTATAAAAAGTGAAGTTATTTAAATTACTATTTTGAATAGCAATATGCTATAGCATGTTAAAAGCAGAGCAGATTGGAAAATTAAAGGGGTTTGAATAGTTAAAATATTAAGATTTGGTATGAGAAGAAGGAGATTAGGGTTTGAGAGTATGATTGAGTGTAAAAAGTTCAGATAATTTGTGTAGAAGTTAAGTGTTTTGTTAGGATTTAGCTTGCTAAAAAATTTAATAGCCTGGTTTATAAAGATAAGAATAGTGTACTTATTAGCAATAATATTAGAGTTTAAGAGATAGTTTGAGTACAAAGTTGTAGTTATAGAAAGTAAAAGGTAAGATGAAAATAAATAACTTGTAATATTATATTGCCAATGATTTATTAGAGTATAACCAGAATTGTTAGATTGGTAATAGGCTTTGTTTATGATAGTTTGATTATTAAGAAATGTAATAAGCCATAGCTTGAAGTATTTGTAAAAGTGGCTAGTATTATATTCTTATAAAAAAAGCATTTCAGAATACATTCATGAAATTTCTATTATTATGACTATAGCTTTATAAAATTTTCAGATATTTATAAAAAATAGCAACTAGACTATTTCATATCTAGTTTTTTTTATAATATTACTATTAGTTATTTATAGTAAAAATTTTTTTACGCTAGTATATGAAATTAAAACAGACTTTATATAAAAAATTAAATTATCAAGAAGTAATAAATTTGTAAATAACAAACAAATAATCTGGAAATAATCTGAAAATAATCTGGAAAATATTGGAAAAAATTATATCACTTTAAATATTATTTAGTTTTTTTTTTTATTAAAAAAACAATTTGATTAAATTAACAAAATTTGATCTGATTTTCTTTATCAATTATATATATTTCATTATTAGACATTTTTAAAAATCTAACATTTTTATCAATTGCATTAATATTAATTACTTCAAGTAAGCCAAATTTACAAAACTTCAATAGACCATGTTTCGAAAACTAAGAATTATAAACCCACTACATATATGCTAACATTGACCAATTTTCATCATATTGATGAGAAAAAAAGTAATACACTTCACCAAAAAATTCTTGCATTTTTAAAATAACAGATGCATTTCTATAATTTGTATTGTGATCAACCAAAAGCTTGGCCTGAAAAGATTAATAACTTATTTTTTTTTTTTTTTTTTTAATATTAAAGGTGACCACTTAGGCCATTGGCATGAGCTTTATTTCGGATAGTTAC